GGAATCAGCCATGGCCCCAGGTGTGAATCTCAAGTGTCTCGAAGAGGATTTATTTAGAACTTTATATACAGTTGAAAAAAAGACATGCCACACTAACCTTTGACACATTTAATGAAGCCCAACTCAGTAAGAAACCCCCCACAAAGCACATTGCTATAACTATTTAGTGTATTGCAGAGTTATACACAGGGAGCATATCATAATATAAAATACTTAATTAAGCTGATACAATGGGTACGCAGACCAACTGGGCAATGCCCTTATATACAAATCTCTAAATTTTCAATCCACTCAATCACAGCTGGGGAGAGATCAAACAGCGCACAAATTAGAAAAAACAGTCATATTTAACTGATACAAACAATTATATCCTTAATGAGCTGTGACTCTTCCTTAGGCGAGTTTTGTTTTTTCTGAGCCATAAAGAAACACTTCATCTAGGGATGCCAAGAGCCTCGAGGGGAAAAACGTGCCATCCCTTTAACAGAGGCTTCATGGGATGTTATTTATCTTCTCAGATACCCATTTCCACACACATTAAGCCTTTGGGAATGAGGGAGGATATTTTCTCCCCTTCGGGCCTGTTACCAACTCTAATGCAGAGACCTCTCCAAAATAAAGTACGGAGACAGAAAGAGAACTTTCTCAGTTGGCACCATAATGGCCCAATCTCAATGGCGGAATTCAAGGGGGGGGGCTCTAAGGAGGAAGATGTGGGGGGAGGACACCTTGGCCCAGGGCTCAGTCCAGGTCATTTCTGGCACATGCACAGGTGGTGGCAGTGGTGCGGTTCAGAGCAGGAGGAGGGAATCTGACTTCTCCCTCCTGATTTTCTCTGTGGGAAACTGGGGGTGGGGTGGGAAGGACAACTTGGACTGGGGAATTCGTGCCCCACAAGATTCACCTGCCAACTCCATGGATTTCCACAATACTGGTTGTTGTGGGTTAGGATACACAACCTTCTCTTTTCAACCCCAATTAATCCAACTGCCAGAATGCTTTGTGTTTCAAAGTGGTGAGACCCCCTCCAAAAAAGCTCACAACAGGCTGGACTGGGGAGGGATTAGGGTTGAGAAATGCCTCTCTAGAACTGATTGTCACATAAAATGTCTGTGAATTAAGGATGCCGGCTGGTCACACTATGGTTATACTGGTAGGTGAGAGGCTGTAGATATCTGTTACCCCTCTCCACTTGTCTATTCCTTCATGGAATTTGGGAAAAGAACTGTTTTTGCCAGTGTTGAAGATGCCAGAGTTAGAATAGCAGATAACCTGAAGTAGCAAGTTTCACAGAGGAGAGAAAAAACTAATCAGTAACTGGTGCTCCCCTCAGGGTTTTCGGCGGGGGGGGGGGGACTCCTCAGTGCTAAAGGAGATATTTGCTGATTCTTTACAAAATTTATCTCATCACAGTCTTAGTATCTTTAGAAATTGCGTTTTATGTCCGGGCGCCACAATTCTCTATCTGCTGTTTCATTGAAATCGAGGTCTTTAAGTAAAATAGCGGACTTTGATTGTCAAGAGCTGGAATCAGATAACTGGGATACTTCTGTTGGAGGGCGAGTGTCCACCCGCCAGGTGGAAGATCTGATGGGCGATGAGGTGAGTGAGGGACCATCCAGAGTTGAAGTTTCCACACTTGTCCCACTGCTGGATTCTGAAAGGCTTGGGAGATGAGCCGATCCTTGTTTCACACAAGTTGCAGGGGGGCAAGAGTTGGTCTCACTGTTTAACTGTGTATTAGTTGAGACAAATATGTTCAATGGTCCCTTCAGATTAGATGAATTAGTCGTGGATTGCTCTGCTTCCTTCAATAGTGGGTTTTTCTGGCTTGTCCCTTAGGTATACATTGGAGAACACCCTTTAGGTCTCTTTTGATGTGATTTGGAAGGCTCTCCAAATGTGCTATATGCACCGCCCCCATCAGTAATGGTTTCTTTCTTTCTTCTGAGAAGACTCTGACAGGGCTCATATGAGACAGAGCGAGAAATCTCCTCATTCTCAGCAGCCTCTGAGAGATAGTAGATTGTTTGAGCGTTAATAACATTCGCCAACCGGCTCATGGTCCACAAGAAATGTCTCTCTACGGAGCAGCTTGCACAGTGAACAGGTGGTTTCTCTTCTGCTTTCCCAACGACCTTGATTTAGAGAGTTCTGAGCAATAGGGACCCGGTCACACGGTAAAGTTGCCGTGGGGGAGACATGGATGGTGAGCGGATTATCCGACCGTGATCACTCCCCAAAATCTGGGAAGTGGAGCGCACCCGTGGCTTACCGCCGAAAATGCGCGTTAAAAAAGTAGTACCTCCAAAGTACTGGTAAACGGTTTGCCACGGGCTACCTCTGGATGCCCACGGTGTGATCACGCCGGCGTGCGGCTTTCCCCTCCGGCCCCTAATTTATGCACCGGCACAAAAGGAAGGACCCGTGGTGTGCCGCCAGCGCGTCTGATCACATAATCGCGGATCACACTGCGCCAGGGCAATTAGCCACGCCTCCCCCCCCCCGTGATATTCGGCCCGTGTGACCAGGGCCTAGTAATACTATTTGGTTGTTTGCAGGGTTAAATTGTTTGTTGCCTTTGTAGTTAACTGCCCCGGTTTGTTGAGATCTGAGGGTAGTTGAAAGCAATCCTCCACTCCTCTGTATTTTTGCTGTGAAGGCAATGGTTGTGTTCAGCACTCTCTGACGGATTGTGCCTGGCTTTCCAAATTAATTTAACACATCTCTTAAGGCATCCAGTTTAGTTGAGATTTTGTTAAGTTGCTGGAAAATAGTTACCATGGTGTCTGCAGTGAGTAAATACTGGTTCCCTGAAAACTTTAGCAGATCATCTTTGAGTGCCTCTGGATGCCCGTGATGTGATCATGCCGGCATGCGACTTTCACTTCCAGCCCCTAATTTATGCGCCGGCACAGAGGGAAGGATACGTGCTGTGCCGCCAGTGCGTCTGATCACGTAATCGTGAATCACACTGCACCGGGGCAATTAGCCACGCCTCCCCCCCACGATATCCGGCCCGTGTGACCGGGGCTTAGCAATACTATTTGGTTGTTTTGCAGGGTTAAATTGTCTATTGCCCTTGTAGTTAACTGCCCGGGTTTGTTAATTTGAGATCTGAGGGTAGTTGAAAGCAATCCTCCACTCCTCCGCATTTTTGCTGAGAAGGCAATGCTTGTGTTCAGTACTCTCTGATTGATTGCACCTGACTTTCCAAATTAATTTAACACATCTTTTAAGGCATCCAGTTTAGTTGAGATTTTGTTAAGTTGCTGGAAAATAGCTACCACGGTGTCTGCAGTGAGTAAATACTGGTTCCCTGAAAACGTTAGCACATCATCTTTGAGTGTTTCAACCACCTTTCGTCCCAGAGCTACTATATCTAAATTAATGGTCTTTAGGTTACCTGCCGGGTGGCAAACAGCTTCCTCCCTTTCAATCCCTGCTGTATCTTTCTCATAGGGGTGCAGCATATGAGTATTTTGTTCTTTTACTGCATCCCCATCTTTAGCTTTTGCATTAGGGGAGGTAAAAGCTATTCCACTAAGCAATTCTTTGCAGAATGAGTCATCTACAAACAATTGTTTTGATGACTTGGAATAAGAGGCTGGTTGAGAATCAGAGTTCCTCCTGAGTCTTCTCTTATATATCACCATTTTCTTTCTTTCACTCCTCCCATCCCACGAGTCATAGTTATTCTGCGACTTTTTTTATATATATATAAAGATTTTATTGACTCTCCTAAAAAGGAGAGATATTTCACTTAGATCGAAAAATAGGGAGGGTGTATAGAGGGAGAAAGAGAAAGCTGAGTGATATATTAGCTGGTAAATTAATCTGTTAGTAATGTCCAAACATTCTTCTTTGGCTTCTTCTGTGTGTAGTCAAACTTCTATTTTTCACTCCAGTTTAGGGTATTATCCATGTTAGTATGTTAGTAGTGTTCCTTTGAATTTCTGTTAAAAAGCTTCTTCAGGGTGCATTCAGAACCGCTTCTTCTCGTGCTGGTTTCTTTTACACTCCCGATGGTATGGAGGAGCTTCCTCTGTTTTCATCTCCCTCCGGCATTTTTCAATCCTCCTTCAGGTCGCTATTAACACTTTCAGTTAATATGCTATAAATCCTCATTCTTTCATGCCGTTTTAGAAGATCTCTAGCTTTGAGAATGGTATTTAATTCCGTTTTCGCTTTTATTCGCTCCCAATCTCTCCGCTGGATCTTCCTCCGCAACTGTTGACTTTTAAAAGCGCTTATAAGGCACTCTCTCGCTGTCACAGTTCAACTTTTCTTTTCACAGTTCCCCGTCAGATTAATAGCCATAAACAGTCCAAGCATTAAACAGCCGGCTCTCACACAACAGCAAACGCCCAGACCGGAAGTGCCTCCCTTCTTCTCCGCTTGTCTTTGCCCAGCTCCGACATCTTACTTTTTGTTTACTTTTAATAACGTTCATAAAATGCGCTCCGGAGAAACAAAACTTTTTCTTGCTTTATTTCAAATACATCAAAGGAAATCACCACTATTCGCACAGTCCATTCCCCCCCTCCTTTACTTCCCCCCCTCCTTTACTTTACCCGAGGATGCGTCCGCCATTCGCGGAAGCCAAACCTAAGCCTTCTGCGACTTCTAATCAGTCTCCTCTTCCAGCAGTTTTAATCATTTCAATGCTATGCATGGTCTGTTGATGTCTTTTAGGTGTGAAATAGGAGAAAACCTCTTTTAAAGGCTAACCAGTTACATCGCTTCTCCTGTGTGGGTTTTTCAATGCACTTGAAGCCTGCGTCTCTCAATGAATCTCCTTCCACACTCTGACCATTCAGAAGTTTTCTTCCTTTGTGGGTTTTCTGATGCTGTTGATGATGGCACCTCAAACTGAATCTCTTTGCACACTCCGAGCATTCAAGAGGTTTCTCCCCTGTGTGCATTCTTTGATGAAGTTGAAGATGGCCACTCCGACTTAATCTCTTTTCACACTCTGAGTATTCAAAAAGGTTTCTCACCTGTGTGGTTTCTTTGATGACGTTGAAGACTGCCACTCTGACTGAATCTCTTTCCACACTCTGAGCATTCAAAAGGTTTCTCCCCTGTGTGGGTTCTCTGATGCAGTTGAAGATGGGTACTCCGACTGAATCTCTTTCCACACTCTAAGCATTCAAAAGGTTTCTCTCCTGTGTGGGTTCTTTGGTGCTTCTGAAGAGTGCCACTCTCACTGAATCTCTTTCCACACTCTGAGCATTCAAAAGGTTTCTCCCCTGTGTGGGTTCTTTGATGCAGTTGAAGATGGGCACTCTGACTGAATCTCTTTCCACACTCTAAGCATTCAAAAGGTTTCTCCCCTGTGTGGGTTCTTTGATGCCGTTGAAGACTGCCACTCACACTGAATCTCTTTCCACACTCTGAGCATTCAAAAGGTTTCTCCCCTGTGTGGGTTCTTTGGTGCTTCTGAAGAGTGCCACTCTCACTGAATCTCTTTCCACACTCTGAGCATTCAAAAGGTTTCTTGACTCTGTGTTTTCCGTGGTATACAAACAGCTGTGATCTTTTTCTGAAGTACTTTTCACATCTAATGGATTTACTTCCCTTTATTATCCTGTGGTTTGGAATATCTACATTATGCTGTTTTCCATCTCTCTTCTCAACCATAGGACCGCCTTTCTTTCTCATCAATCCGCCTTGATTCCTGACGTTTTCTTTCAAGTCTCCATTTTTAACTTCATCTGCCATTTGCTGATAACCTTCCTCACCCACTTCATTCCTCTCATCATCCTCTGCTGGAAAAAACAGAGAGATCCTGTTAGCACCTGGGAGGGCTGGGTAAGGTCCAAAGGCATCTATGCGACTGTGGTAGAAAAGGATTGACAGCCTTTTGGCCTTGTCCACCTTGGCTGATCTTAACCCCTCCTCCAATTTCTACAGAACATCTAGTATTTAAGATTAACTCACCCCGTCAAGTGCCACAGCTGAGCTCTTGCCCAGAAGGAGCTTCTGAGCCTTCAGATTTCAGGTACTCCCTGCTTTCACAGTGGGCTGCATGATTGTACAAAATGCTGCTCAGAAGTGAATCAGAAATCCCCCATGGAACTTCCTAGACTTTTCCCTTGACGTAGCTGGACCAGGAGTTTGAAACACTAACAACACTAACAACTACCTAGGAAAAGTGTTGGAGATTTTCTCTGGACTGAACTGTTTTCCTTTACGGATTGAGGATCTTTTAATCCCACTTTTTAAATCTCATATGTTACTGATACTGCTTTTATATGCTTCTTTTCACTATATTAAAAGTCTCTTCCTGTACTTTTATACTTGCGGGCATTTCAGCTCACAGTTGTTGTTTTTTGTGGGTTTGGGCTTTTTAGACTGTGTGCTGCACTGTTTGTTACTTATTACCTTAGGGACCGCCTTTCCCCATACATACCCCCAAGAGCACTTCGGTCGGGGACCCGGAACCAGTTAGTAGTTCCGGGCCCCCGAGAGGTAAAATATGCTGCAACAAGGGCCAGATCCTTCTCAGTGGCGGCCCCTGCCTGGTGGAATGAGCTCCCGGAGGAGATCAGGGCCCTGCGGGACCTTATGCAGTTCCGCAGGGCCTGCAAGACGGAGCTCTTCCACCAGGCTTTCACGTAGGGGCTGCCGCTGCCACCATTACCATCAACGGTGGTAAGAACATCGAAGCTGGGAGTGTCCTTGAACGTAGTGCTACTAGAATGCTGCAATGAGTACAGCGGACGTACTCGGACCATTTCTGGACAATGATGCCATCATTTTTTAACAACCTAAGACCGCCTGATAAAAAGAAGCACTTTATTGTTTATTGTTGATTGTAATGTTGTTGGATTTTATTGGTTTTTATGTGATTTTATGTTCGGGCTATGCCCCTTGTAAGCCGCCCTGAGCCCGCTTGTGGGGAGGGCGGGGTAAAAATACTTAAATAAATAAATAAATAAAAATTAATATTATGGCCCACTTTCATGCAAGTTTTGTTCTTGCTCCACCTGTTTTGGGTAATTTCTATTACATGCCCCACACTGAATTAGGGTAGCCAATGTGTCATCATAGAATGGAGAGAGTTGGTACTCCAGTTTATTTGTGTATGCATTTATTGGTTTGGCACCACTTATGCAGTACTTTTAGATAACCTTGCAGCTGTGATTGTCTCACATATATACATTACATTTATGAAATCAAGACATGGCAGGTCCTTGTTATATAAGCAGCCCTGAAGGGTGCACATTAAATTTAGAGACCTGGCCTATATCATGGTTGGAATGTTCCACCACATATATATATTTGAGGCATTTGGTCCTGTTTACTTGGCAACAACCATTAAGGTGCATAGTAAAAAATAGGGGACCACGCCCATATTAGGGTTGGAATGTTCCACCTAGCGCTTACAATTCTTGATATTTTTACTATAAGAGGCTCTATAGCTTTAAAACCATTGAAGATATTACCAGCTGCTATCAATTTGGCTTTATAAAGCTGTTCCAGTAGATTGTAATTTTAAGGCATGTAGGTCCTGTTTTCTCAGAAGCAACCCTAGTGGTGCATACTAAAAGGAGACCTTGCCCATAAGTGAGTATAACTGGCAGCTTGGGGTCCATATTATGTTAAGTTCAAAATGGAAAGATAAAAGAGTTCCATCGATATCCCAGTGGGTACGTAAACTATGGGATTTTTTTGTTATGGCTAAAATATCAGATAAACTCTCAAGTCTTGAAAGACCCTCATATAACTCAAAATTCGTGGCAACATGGTTTCCTGTTTTGACCTATCTAAATACGACAGCAAAAGTATTTTGTAACCCAATATACCAGAATTTTGCTCACTTTTGAAGCTTTATTACTTATAACTTTGTTATTGAAGTATTTTCATGGTAATCTATATTGTTGAAATACCTTGTTAATCACTGTTTTATCCTTCATTAATCTCTACAACTGTTTGTATGTTAATATTTGAAACGCAATAAACATATATTTTTTTAAAGTATTATTATTCTAAGGAGTCATTCTCTTTTGCAGAGAAGTTGAATAGCAACATCCGGTTAAGAAACTGGTAGGAGACTGCCTATGTTGGTAAGATACATGAGACTCTGTGTAATAGTGACTATTAAGCATCATGGCTTAGAAGCTATATTGTTACAAAGCATTGCTGTATTCTATTCTTGTACTATTTTGTACTTTTACAGTTCTGAATTCCTGAAGAAGGACCAGGAGTTTGAAACACTAACAAATACCTAGGAAAAGTGTTGGAGATTTTCTCTGGACTGAACTGTTTTCCTTTATGGATTGAGGATTTTTAATCCCACTTTTTAAATCTCATATGTTACTGATACTGCTTTTATATGCTTCTTCCCCCTATATTAAAAGTCTCTTCCTGTACATTTATACTTGCGGGCATTTCAGCTCACAGTTGTTGTTTTTTGTGGGTTTGAACTTTTCCCTTGACATAGCTGTGTAGGATA